TTTTGTTAACTTGCAACCGTCATGCATCCGAAAAGCTAGGAAAGAGAAGGGTAGCAGGGATTCCTGTGGCAACTACTATTCCTGCAATCAGGTGACTCACAGACTAAAGACGATGCTGCAGGATTAATCCTTATCAATTATTGATCAAGACCATACAACCCGTCTCCTATTATCCTAGGTATATGCTGTAAAGGCGCGTGTGGTACAGTGGTCGGAGGCGTCCTACAACACACACATGGAATCAATCCCCGCCCCATGGCTCACCAAGCCTTAGATACCTGCGGAGTCGGAAAATTGGTTCCGGACTTGTCTGGGAGTATAGCAGTACTGGCTCGATACATCGGTAGGCCACCGCGAGTCACTGTGAAAGCCAGATATGCATTCGATCACCTCCAAACGATGTTTAATGAAGTCGAATGCATGGCGCATCCCTAAGGAATTTATCAACGCCGATAACTTTATCCTTCATTATTTCTTTATATGCTGTAAACCATTTGTTAGAATGTAAACCATATACTTACACGAAGAGTAAAAAGCTAACCGGGTAGAGCATACGATAAAAAAGAACTGAAGCGAAAGAAAGGGACTGGAAAAAGGCAAAGCAAAGGCTTCCGTCAGTTGCCGTCATTGCGGCGGATAGAGCGTGAACTTAAATGGTGATGGCAGGTTCGAAGCCCATCTGAGGTTCCGAGTTTTGCTCATATCTTACGACCCTTGTTGTTGTATTTCACAGAATACGCTGCCATCAAAAAAGAGTAAGCAACAAGTAAGTTTGAGACAAAGAGAATTAAGTTAAAAGGTAACTGCAGTTTGCAATTTACACAGTAAGATCAGCTTATTGTATTCGGTAAGGTCTTCAAATAGTCTCAACCAGCCATCTCACAACCGTTTGCACGATGAGGGGACTAAATATTAAAATGCTCATTCCAGAACAAAAGTAGCTCTAAAAGAAGATAAAGCTCTCGGCGTTGATCGATTCCTGAAGAGTGTACCGTGCATTCCACTTCATTAAGCATCGTTGAAGGTGGTTGAATGCAAATCTGCCCTTTACATTGACTGCGGTGACCCACCGATGTATCGAGCCAGTGCTGCTATCTTCCCAGACAAGTCTGGCACCAATCTGCTGACCCCAGAAGGATGGAAAGCTTGATGGACCTGGGGGGCCGGGACCGACCCTATGTGTATTGCAGGGCGCCTCCGACCACTGCGCCACATCCGCCTAAGCATCAACAAGTTATAACTTTTGTAATTATATAAAAATGAATTGTGACCTTCTGTCAGCACTTGGTTCCAAAGCGAATTTGAATTTGAGAGGATATTTTGTACAAACTATATTTATCCTCGCTCCCAGGTGCTGGAATAGCGTAGTGGTTAGCGATCCCATCGGTCAGGAAGCAAAGGCGCTAGTTCAATCCCCATCCCAACGTTCTCCTCCAGCCCACGTACGCACGCTTTGGTTCGGCTATCTTCAACATCGCGACGAGAATCGACTCAACCATTATACTACGACATTCATAAAGAAAAAGGAATCCTAAAGCAGCAGCTCAAACAACACGTGAGATAATCGAATGCAAGAATTGCTGGGATCCGCACAGTAGATGTTATGAAGGATCATGTTAAAAATTGTAAAAAAATGTTTACCCTCGTAACAATAGAGCAGTCTCATCCATAAATCTGTTGGCTTTTCGACACCCAAGTACTTTGGTTACCAAAAGAATTATTGGGAGCTACCAAAAAACTTCATAACGGGCTCATGTAGCGTAGCAGTTAAAGGTGTCCTACAATGCACGTGGGTTCGATAGATCCCCTAGCCCCAGACCCACCAAGTCTTCCACACCTCCTGGTTTCGGCAGATTTATACCAGACCTTTCTGGGAGGATAGCATCACCGACTCGATACAACGGCAGATCACCGCGAGTAAATGTATAGACCAGATATGCATTTAGTCGCGTCTGACGATGCTTTAGTAAAATCGAATCCCTCTGGGATTGATTAACACCGACAACTTCATTTTTTCCTTTATTGCCAAAAAACAAGCACGGCTAAAATCTGCTAAGCACGTAAAAATCAATTTTAAGCTGGCTACTGTGTGCAGTGACTGGATATAAAAATACTGTAGTCATCTGCACATGTGATGAGAAGCCCAATACCAATTGTTGACGACACTGTGATTAAATGAACGAAATTTTGGGATTCTCTTCGAAGAAACGAATATACATAGAAACCGGAACCAAAACACGAGGTAAAATCGAAATGCAGAGCGAAAAACAATAATAAGGACGGGCTCATCAGTTGTCGAAATACTTTGGCCAGCGTGAGTCGATTCTAATGCATCACAGAATGCATGTCGAAAAATTACGCCTCTTTCCACATGAAGTCGATCGCCGTCGACAATGTGCCAATGATTGAGGATTATCCCACAACATCGATGAAGTAGGTTAATAAAGTCGTATCATTAAGATGAGTGACTGGGTAGCATGTCATATGGAGTGATCAAATGGAATAGATTGCTCAATAGTTCTACTCTACTACAAGGAAACCAGACATGATGTAGGTGAACCACGATGGGAGAATCAAATAGTTCTAGCAACAAGGAATAGTCAGATTAGCAGACCAGATTTCGACCTCCATTCGAATGTGCGAAGACGCAAAGCCCACTTCACAAAACTGATGCTACGACACACACCATCCCTGCCTAGAGGGCTACTCAACAGCGCCTCCATTGCCTTCAAAAGACTAGTTCGCATTGGAAATTTGGAATTCCAAAACATACGCATATATCTCGTTATATATGTGTAAATCCAACAGATTTACCTTGGAAATAAAATGTTATAAGGTTCTGAGATGCCTGTATTACAGATTGAAAGCTAAACACCAAAATTAATTTTTAAACCACCTAACGATTTACTACTGAAAATAATACAAGATCCTATGGACGTTTAACAAACTGTAACCAACGTAGCCAAACACGATTCATCCAACCGACTATTCAGACAAATCATACAGACAACAAAAACTGCCAAATAGTATCGCAGCATTATTATTATTAATCTACTTCTCGACATTACAAATAGACATTTGAACAAACTGCAATATCACAGGTAGAAATTGTAATTAATTAAGTTCACAACCCGTATACGACGGAATATTGGAGTTCTCTAAAAAGTGTCATCTCAGCAGTTTAAAAAAAAAACTACAAAGTTCAAAAAGCATTCTACTTTCACCATCGTCGAATCCACGTAGTTCTAATTTGTTAAAAAGACACATGTAATCAGGTGATAAGCAATATAAATTTAGAATACACTTGAAAATTTAATTTAACATCAAAACTTAACAGGAGTATTTACAAGGATATAATAAAATCTACTTCTCGAAATCCTAAGAAAGATGAGCTATGCACATTTTAATACACCGTGTGCATAATGAATTCAAATTACTTTCCAGTTATACGAGCTACTTTAATACCACACTGTTATATCAGTAGAAGGCTTGTCCATAAATAAAAAAAAGAAGAACGAACCGCTTAGCTTATATATTATCAAAACGAGTGGAGCACTTGTTAAGTGAAAAACTACAGTGGCAGGTTGGTGGTTTCCATGGGCGTTTACACCATAACACCAGCATTATAAACTTCCTCTAACAGCAATTAAACAAAGTAATGCAATCGAGCAGATAACTTGCAGCTTAGAAGGTAACATAGTATGCCCAGAAGTCATATGAAGCTCTTCAGAACTCGACTCTTCGTCACTGATTTGAGCCGACAACGATGAAGTGCATCGCTCAATGAGGTTTTCTCCTTCTCTTTCATCACCACTACATAAGGATGCAGGTTCTGTATTAACACATCCTTGTTTTAAACGGCTATGCTGCGTGGTGCAAGACTGTAACACAGACTCTGAAACGACTTACTTTATTATAGCAATGAAATTTTTTTAAGAACCGACCTAACATCTTGCAGTTAAAAATTTAGCACCATTATCCAATATTGTGCAGAATCGCATAACATGAAGAGTAATAATATCAACATCGGAAACACCATGGTCAATTTTAAAAGTTATAACGATAAAATGCATTGAACAACAGTTTCCTCCTCCGCTGTAGAAAAAAATGAACAACGAAACGTGTGTACCTGACGTACTAGGGCATCGAAGTTTTGTTGCAATATGTTGTTGAGTGACGCATGACTGTAAAACAGAACCTGAAACAATTATTATTACTTGCGCATAAAGTCCTTAGGGTTAGCTTTAATTCAAAAAATTAGCGTATTCTGTTTCGCAAATTTGTACTCTTCTCCCTCAGCTTTTGTTATAACGACATGATGTTCACTTCCTTTTCAAAAGTGACCTGATATGAAACAAACTCGGTACATAAAATGTGCTTAAAATGCGCGCTTTTAAACCGGTTTATTCAGTTTGAAACACAAGCTACTTTGGATTAAGTCGCGATCTTTTTGAAACGTACTCAATATTCCGCCGTTCAGTATTTTCTCCACTTCAACTCTTTGATTCGCAGAGAGGTATTGCTCAGTCACAAAACGCTGATAGCAGAAACTGAGCGATGCGAACAACAGGACGGTAACTAGTTGTACAGAAAGAACCATGTACACAACCTGTTCGGACTGTAAGTAATGAATGATTAAGATGATCAAACAACCTAAAACCTTGAACAAAAACAGCGTTTTTATTAAAACATCTTTTCATTGGATTATAGTGGAACTATAAAAGAAAAATACCGTCCAAAGGTCATCATCAGGTGGTGAATACCGATGGAGCCCAGTTGGTTGAGAATTGCACTTTTCATGACCTGTTCTTTCTGCACCTCTCGTGAACTGACCGACTGTCATCTTTGATGCAGTGAAACGCATAGAGGAAAGCCAATAAGATAAAGTATCTACTTCTCTGCGTAGAAGTGCGACCTAAAAAAGATTTTAAATGAAATAGAACACGATACACACACAGTCTCACGAAACAAGTATTCCAATTAGAAAAAGACCAAAACGATCATGTCGATCTAGAACTGATCGTTTTGAAAGAGAAAAGCGGAATACTGAATAAAATGCAATTACCCACCTTATTAGCTAGCGTTTCATTTACACGTGCATATATTGCTTCGACTGCTTCATCCACTATTTCCCTTACTTGTCTCATACGTCTATGATGCTCATCACTTTGTGCGACATATTGCCGACTAAGCTCGCTGAGGTATTCACTTGACAGTGACATGTTTAATTCAAGAGCAGCGATACGTTTGTTGAGCTTCATAAACACAGACTCCTAGGATAAACGATATTCATGATCATTAAGTTAAATTATATTACGATAACAGAATAAAAATAATAAGACATATTGCAATTGGTAAAGCCAGTTCTCCGTTCGAAAAAAAATACAGAACCTTGTGAGTTGTTGAGGATGCAGGCCACGCTTCAGAAGGGATGGAATGCATGGTCGCCGAAGTGAGCCTTTGTCGCTGGTGCTGCTCATCCGACGTAACCTTTAGATGGAATTATCTTCAATACGAACTGGGAAAAAACAAATACATAAAACAACCTTGCAAAAGATAAACATTGTACCTTCACAAGGTCAGATTCTAATAACGGCCGGTTTTCTTTCAGGAAAGATCGGCAAGCACGCAGATATCTCCTTCTTAGGTAAGCGATTCGACATCTTCTGGAGCGGCTAGATGACGACAATTCACGCGATATCGCAGGCATTGATGCAGAAATACGTGTTTCTTCCCTTCTGTATAATGGGTACTTCAAACACACAGCGTTAAATGTATTGCATATTTATATACACATATATATATGTATATACATATATGTATATACAAATACGAAACACATAATATATACATATATATGGATGTGGGACTTGGGATTTGCCGTTCTCCATGGTCTATAGGCACTTTCCAAACAAAAGCTCGACAAAATTGACTAGGATAAATATAATAGGCATCCTTTGCACAGAAATAACATGCTATGAGTGGATTCGCCACTTTGAATTTCCTGAAAATTTCAAACAATTTCGATATTTCAGTAAGAGCACATAAAAATCCTGCGAAATTGGAAAAACTATTCACCTAATAGCGTTAGAATTAACATGCATCCTTCCTTCAAAATTATTATCTGCAACGTTCACAAACTTATTAATCAAGGGACCACCATCTTCCTAAAACTATTCCAAGTGGTTCGCTGATTTTCTAAACGTGTAAATACACAACCATACGCTAACTACTTCGGTAAGAGTAGGATTTGATTCCAAACTTTTTTCGCTTATCCCAGATGTGACAGCAGATTCCTTGGGAATAGCATTTTCCTAAACGAACAGCATTGAGCAACGCCGGTGTTTGCATATTAACCTTAAACAGTACGATATAACCTGAATCGGCGATAATAGGCTCGTTGTAGTGGTGTCAACTGCTTCAGTCGATGTTATATTAGGTTTAGTATCTGTTACTGTTCCTATATTATTCCGCGTATGAACAACAGAAGCAGCTTCAGCCTGAAAATTGAATAAAAAGCATATCGCAATAGGTATGGGAATAAAATTTATTGGAAGAAATGATAGCAGTGTAGGCAGAAACCTCAGCTTCATATTCATCTATCATTGATATTCCAAGGACCTTAAGAACTGACAACGTACAATAGTGCTCGTTTCCATAGTGAGAGAGAAGTTCCACCTACAAAAATAAAGAGTATGAAGTACTCACTCTCAATGAACAGATCCAGTCCATATTACGTAAAACATTAGTTTGAAATCGGATTCTTTAGAATCGAAAAGTTCCACTTTTTATCATCCAACAACGATAAACCGATTTTTAAACTTATAAACAAAAAGGAATACTTTGAAAACAAGAAAAACGCCGAATGCTCTGCTTTACAGAGCGTCGAGAAAAACATACCTTCATGAATTTAACATAAATACCATTTGTGGGAATCGAGAACTGCTGAATCTGACGAGAATCTATAGCAGTTAATTCCGTGATTAGTTGCCACTCTCCGGTAGGGAACCTCTCCGCGGACCATAAGCGTATTGTTCGCGGACCGGAGGAGAATAATTCGTAATTAGCTAATTCTATAGCGCGAAGCTGAAAGTGCGGAAGTACGAGTGGACTTCCTAGTATTGGAAATAATGACCTAGATACGCAGAAGCCACATCAGAGCACCAAAGCGACAGGACAGAACAATCTGCCTAAAACGACATACCTGCACAGTTTCACACAGTTCAATTATTACAAATTTGTAGGCAGCATTTTCACATGGATTCCGCATGTATTCATCCTTTTCCTAGACAAGTAGAATATACAATAAGGATGCGTAAAGCAATGGAAAAAATAAATGTATAAGTGCTTTACATACTTTCTCATTGAGGATAGCTTTCGTATTTTCAGCTTCCGCATTACTATGTAATACTTTAGCACCGCATTCCTTACTGGCGTAATTACGAGTCGCTGCAGATGATGGAGGTAGCTGCTGAGATCCAACGCTAGCCAAACCTATTTCAGAAAGGGGTGAAAGCGACTGAAATAGCACGCTGATTTCAAAAAGAAAAGTACTTAAAAAAAAGGCTTATACAACCTTTCTATGATCTTGCTTCAGTTTTTCCTTCGTCCATTCATCAAAAGTCGCTATTGGAGGATGGGACCCTTCCGGCAGCTTCCGATTAGAGCATTCTCCATCAGCAGTACCCGATAACAGAACGGACGTTGTAGGTCTAAAAATTTTACGTATACGAGAGAAACGAAAATTTCTACAGAAATATCGCATACAAACCGTAGTGAGACTGGAACTGTCAGGTTGTTGGTACAGTTGCCGGAAAAACTCGCTCCATGTGTAAAAGTTGACCTTGTGGCGCCAGTTCCCATTAAAAGTTTGTGGTCGAATTGTAAGGCGACTTCATTGGGGCATGAGGTACTCGATAAACTAAAGCGTATAGCGCTTTGGGAAAAAAGAGTTGAAACAGACGTTAATCCAAATATAGAGTATTACATATGTAGTTATACATTTTTTCTATATCTTTTTCTTTCATATGAATCGTCTTCAGGTCTACCTTGCGGATTCCAGCACTTCTCACATCCGATTCGTTTTCTCGCATCCATTATCCACGAGGATCTCCCAACTTTTAGGTGTGGTGTGTGGCTTTGACTAGTGCTTGAGGATTTTCATTTCTTCTTGAATGTCATAGAATGCTGGTCGTTCTCCTTGGAGCCCTGGGATAGTCGGGCCGGAGAGTTCCCAACTGGATTGCACAGAGTGATTTTTTTCCCGGAGAAGTCCGGTACCAATCCCCCGACAACGGAGGGATGAGAGGCTTGGTTGACCCGGAGAGGAATCGAACTAGCACTATGCTCGTGATAACCAACAACACTACCACTGTGCTATCCGTTCCTGTAGAAGTTATACACATGTATGCATATATATATATATGTACAAATATAACAGCAGTGAATTGTGAGACTCACCCACACTTGCTAAAGTAAGCGCTGAGCACGGATCTAAATCCGTCTGCAAAGCAGACGTTACCGCCAGTTACGGGGCACCACAAAACAAATCTAAAAGCACTTTTTCAAAACTAATCCCGAAAACATTCAATGAGGGAAGAAACCTACATATAAGTTAGAAGAACTCCTGCGCGCCATTGGTGAATCATACCGACAATGGCTTGACTAGTCAGACATTCACCTAAACTATTCTTCGACAACAAAATTCCTATAGAGGATTCCGGAAAAAAACCGACTAACAGCGAAACAGCAATTGAAAAGCTATGCAGAATCTATAATCGCACAGAAGAAAAGTTACTGATCAAAACAACTTCAACATACGATTTCTTCCTTCTGCATACCGAAGGTATCCAAAACTATGCAATGTGGATACGAACAGTTTCAAAATCGAAGTGGTTGTTAAAAACATTGTTGATGAAAATTATCAGGACTGATACCAAGATCGACCACCGTCCTGGTATCGAACCAGACGCATGGTGGGTGGCGAATTTCCCTCTGATCCACAAGGGCGGCAACTGCCTGTGGTGGTGACGACCCGAGGCAGACTTGGCCTGATTGACCTCGGGAAACCAGGGAGACACCATGGCCAAACCAGCAAAACTACGAAAAATGGATAATATGGGAGGGCCCGCAAAACCAGTGAGGATGGGCCGTCCAAGTAACAGGTAAGTAACAAGTTGATGAAAATTGACACTAAAGTGGATTACCGACAAATTCTCAACTAAAAACTTTAATGAGAAAAAGGCAGCAACCGAAGACATGACACTGTAAAACATCTGAACATGGCAACTTACAAAGTAACCACAACGTTGCTATGCAGTAACTGTTACTAGTATATAGTGGAGTTTTTCTTCGTGTTGATATCGTAGGAGAGCACTGATATCGTGAAATAAAATCGGAAATATCAGATACCACCTAAGATCACGAGTACACCAGCATATTTCGAGAAAACGAAAACAGTAACATGGCGTAAGGGATAAGTTCGAATAAAACACCTTTAAACGATGAACGCTGTTGCAGTTTGGTCACGTAACCATCCAGAGTACCCTGACGAGAAATTCATGAAAAACTAAGTTCTCGGACAATCTAAATAAAGACATTAGCACTTATTTAAGCGACCAACATACGTTGACAGCCATTAGAACTAAGAAGAAGTATGAAGGAAAAGACACCGAGCGCAGAAACTACGTGCGCTTGGCCAGACAGATGCTTCCTAGCGATGGCGCGCGTACCTTATGTGGAGCGCGTTCAGCACGCCGTTGAGTTGATACAACACAGAGAACCTCGCATTCGGTTGGTACATGTGAAATGTCCGATTTTATTATTTTGCTTCTCCATGCAACTTTTAGATAAAAAGTTTGCTCTTTACGTACGTCTAATATAAACTTTTGAAGCACAAAGTCATCTCCTTCTATAGCAGGTGGTGGTTTTCCTCCAAATTTATTATTTTCATATTTTTATAGGCTTTAACTTTAGTATGAATGAACGTGATATTCGTTTTCTTTTACGAGTGGGAGAGGTGAAATAGTGCCGCGGCAGGAGCTCGGAATATCATCCAGTTTGTGGTGAAGGTGGTGTTAGTGAATGAACAGTGCGAACATGGCTCCGGAAATTCCGATCTGGAGATTTCGACCTCGAAGATAACGAAGGCCGCGGACGTCGCAGTGAAATTGACGGTGCCGAAATGAAGCCACTTGTGGAATCAAACACGCGAACAACTGTTCGAGAGCTTGTAATACAGCGTGGAGTAAGCACAGGAACAATTTCCGCTCTTTTGAACTAAATAGAAAAGAAAGAAAGCTTGACAAGTGGGTGTCGCACGAATTAAACGATAACTAGAAAAATCTTCCTTTTGAAGTGTCGTCTGCTCTAATTATGCTCAACGAAAATGACCCTTTTCTTGATCGAATTATGACGTACGACGAGGAGCGGATTCTGTACGACAACTGCGTTCAGCTTAGTGGTTGGATTGCGATCAAACTCCACATCACCTCCCAAAGTCGAAATTACACCAAAATAAGGCTGTGGTGACTGTTTGGTAGTCTGCAGCTGGGCTGATTCATCACAGTTTTTTCAATCCAGGCAAAACGATTACGGCAGAGAAGTATTGCCAACAAATCAACGAAATGCATCGTAAACTTCAACAACAAAAACCTGGCACTAGTCAGCAGAAAAGGACCGACATTTCTCCACGGCAACGCCTGGTCTCACGTTGCGGAACCAGCACTGCAGAGGTTGACTGAGTTGACTTACGATAGTTTGCCTCATCCGCCATATTCATCAGACCTCACTCCTACCAATTATCACTCTTCTAGCACCTTGAAAACTTTCTGGGTGAGAAATGCTTCACCAACATCGATGACGCAAAAAATGCCTTCACCGAACTCATCGCTTCCAGAACTCCAGAATTTCGTGCAACTAGAACAATCAGATATGCTTTTCGTTGGAAAAAGTGCTAATTCTATTGGTGTTTATTTCGATTAATAAAAATTGGTGTGAAAAAGTTGTGGTTGTTTAAAGTTTGCATTGAAAATCGAACATTTGATATGTTAAAACCCAATACAAATGTTGATTTTCTTGTGTGAGCGTTCCAAATGTGAACAACAGACCGTTTCCGATTTATAGAGTTTCTATTGTAATCACTGGAATGTTAGCCAAAGATTTTTTCTAGAAAACGTCGAGGTCCAGACGTATATTCTGAGGTGAAAACCTGTTGATTGCTGAACGTATTAGAGTGAGTAGTTAGAGTTTTCGACATAATGAATTTTTAAAAGAGGAGGTATAATTAAAACAAAGTAAAAAGCAGGTTATGCTTCAATACCGATGTCTTTGATACGAGCAAAACCCTACTCATCATTCATCAATAATGCTTCTGCGGTTGGGAAACTGGTACCGTTCTTGTCTGGAATCAGTTCACTTCCCCTAATGCACAAAAGATGGCGCGAATGTAGTTATAATGAAGGTCTGCGAGCGCATTAACATGGCCGTCTCAGGACTCGAAGGAAGATTGGTTGGATCAGAATTCGACGAATTCATGAGAAAGACCAAAATTACTCAAAAAGCAGCCGAACCCGCTTGCAAAAAGTTTGAAGTTTTTCGTGGATGATGGATAAGCGGGAACGGATCCAATGTCAGAGCTGCTGAAATAGGCATAATATCTATGGTTTCTTGTTATACAACAAAAATATAGATATTGGGAACTTTTTCGGAGACATCACAACTTCTTTAAGTTAGAAGCAAATGTAACCCGCCGAGTGCCTATGGCGATTGAGGAAGAGCGATACGGATCAGTGTGAAATAGAAGCAGTAAGAAATCAAGGTTGTGAGTTGAGTTTCTAAAAATGACATTAACTTCTTGTTTATAACCTCCAGTGACTGTTCGAGCGGGTCCAGGAAAGTCTCCAATTATCCTTGTTTCGTACTAGAGCTAATAGATGAACCCACTCGCCTGAAGGATACGAAGAGTACCATACTATTCGTGCCAGTCCCTGTTTTCGCAGATTTTTTTTTTTGTTGCAGAACACACTAGAGTCGCCGTGCCATTCGCACCAAGAACGAATAGGTGTTAATAGTTTGAGGCGACCGCGAACTGTACTCAATGTTCTTTTCCTATCAATGCAATCATTTGGCTGACTCAACTTGCAAGTACACAGTTCGCATACCCACAAGGACACTTATTCATACCTGAAGATTTCTACCGCCCTGCAGAAACTATAGATCAGTTAAGCTCTACTAAAAAAGCGAGTTCACGCTACCATTTCATCTGAGTTCATTCTGCCTCAAAAGCAAATCCTTCTATGAATTTAGACTCATTGTATAGAGCATAACCAAAAAGAGGTACCCAATCAGTTGAAACAAAGAGTAGTTTAATAACAAACATAGCCTTTAAATTCTAAAAGATCCTTAAAGCGTGGCATATGAAACAAAAAATGAGTTTTGAGAGGTATCATTTGTAAAGCTCAGGGGTAAGGCTGCAACTATGGCCTCTAATTTCAAACGCTTTTCTACAGGCAAAAAATACTTTATTATATTTCCTTTTCTGAGGTCAAATTAGTGTGTGCATTGTAGCCAATATTTGAACGTTTTCTGCTTAGCAATTGATTTAGTAAAAAAGTGATATTTAGGAAATGAAGTCCAACATGAGATAGTCTCCACCCATATGATCCTAAAATGATAGCCATATTCAAATTTAAACTAGCATATCTCAGGCGAGAACGAATTTTGACAACTTAAATAGCAGCCATGAGAATCTATAGGTCTTCGCTA